CCTCTTGTGGTAATCGTTTTTTCTATTTAGTATATTTTTTGATGAAATTGACGGTTTGGCGCCAGTCAGAAGCAGCAAGCAGGATCAGATCCATTCAAGCATAGTTAGCACATTATTGGCGTTGATGGATGGTGTGGAACAACGCGACGAGATTGTGGTCATTGGCGCAACGAATCGCCTCGACGCTATTGACCCCGCCTTAAGGCGCCCTGGCAGATTCGACAGGGAATTGTGTTTTTCCCTCCCGGACAGAAACGTGAGTGGAATCGAAGATGGCTCTAAATTCAAAACAGGAAATTACTCCTTAAATTCTTTATCTTGTATCCAGCAATAAATTGAACTCCTTTTCGTCCCGTGGTGTAAGACACATACGATTTTATTATTTAGAAACGCCTTTTATGGCACTCCATTTCATGATGTAATGATTTCTGTCGCAAATAAGCGGCATCTTTAGTCAGGTCCTAGCAAGGGCCTGTTCGGACACCTGCAAATATTCCGTGATCCATAGGCATATAATATACTTCCGTATATAATTTATTTAAATACTCATATCTTACTGAGGTAATAACTACCTACACACTGATCTACTCACTTATCCACTTGTCAAACTGTTTGACTGATTTTTAGTACAAAATGCATGCTACCTGCAAATTGCATGGGTAGATATTTATTTGATCCATTTCAGTTTTCGATACCGGTTTGAAACGGCGTAAGCACCGTAACCTTAATTATACTGGCCTAGGGGACCATTGAAGCAGGCCAGGTCTCATCGGTATTTGAGTATTTGCGGTGCATAGAAGCACAACCGCATCTCCTAGCAAGACCGAACAAGGGCCTCTTCGAACACATACAAATATACAGTGCTCCGTAGGCATATTTATGCAGAAAAATAAAACACGGTTTTATGGTTTTACTAGCCTACTGCTAGGTATTGATACCGCCGCAAAGATAGATAATCCACTTCAATTTTCGATACCGGTATCAGTTACTAGCAGTATGCTAGTAAACCCATAATATCAGGTTTTATTTTTCTATATAAATATGCCTACGGAGCATTGCATATTTGTATGTGTACAAACAGACGCTTGTTCGGTCCTACCTAGAGATGCGGTTTTGCTTCCATTCACCGCAGATGCTCAAGTACCGATGAGCTCTGGCCTGCTTCAATGGTCCCTTAGACCAGTAAAATGAAGGTGACGGTGCTTACGCCGCTTCAATTCGGTATCGAAAACTGAAATGAATCAAATAAATATCGACCTATGCAATTTGCAGTTAGCATGCATTTTGTACTAAAAAAATCGGTCAAGTAGTTTGGCCAGTAGATAAATGAGTAGGTCAGTGTGTAGGTAGTTATTACCTCAGTAAGGTATGAGTATTTAAATCAATCATATACGGAAGCATGTACCATTATAGCCATGATGTCATAATTTCTAGTAATTTCCGATGATAATTTATGGTAACAGTTTATAATATTTATCCCTTTCACGATCGAGTCCGTGACGTTGCACTGGTTCATGTCCTCCGCGATAACCCTTGCTTTCCTATCATCGAAAGATTATCTTTTTCATTTAATTCTCTGATTCCTTCTGACCTCAAGTCATCTCCTGGTAGCCAGTCTTTTTTGGCGGAATATGCCAACTACATGATCGATTGAAAGCTCTGTGTTTCTGTTAATGTGAGCATCCATTACAGAGTGTCGTTAGCCAGATCATGCAACTGTCAAATTGATAATCGATTTCCGTGCACTTTCTTCTTTGTATCGGTTATACTGATGGACCTTTTGATGCTAGAAGATATACATAATGGATGGTCTTTTGGTTGGACGAATACAACACATCATGCCGTTATTGCTTATCGATTCTTTCTAACCAAATCTTTCCACTTTTCAGTGTCTGCTCTGACCTTTGC